CACACCGAACAAGAATACGGTACGGGGCTGTATAGCCAGTAGCTATACATGTATTTACATTTTACTATATATATTTAGGAAAATCTATACATTTAAAATTAGGCGGCTTTGCCGCAGAGAAAAAATAAAAATCAGTTTTGGATTTTGTACAGAAGAGTAATTAGCCTTGGGTTAAGGCAATAATTACCGGATTGCGATCTGCTGACTCGTACTTGTTCTAAATATAGAACGAAAGGTCGGTGACCTCCTTTACGCTTCCTCAAAGCTCAAAGCCACGGCAGCTTCGCTGCGCTTGGTAGCACTTGTAGTCAATCTACACCTGAGTAGTTTAGACTGATCCTCTGTGAGGATGGAACAGTTTTCCTCTTTGCCTCAGGCCATGCAGGACGGGCTTAAAAAGCTGATACCCTTGCTGGGCCCTGAGGGCGTGCAACACCTTGCGGCGCAAGGCCACGAGGCAATCGGTGCGCGTCTAGAGGCGTTTTAAAATTACAAAAGCGCGCTGCTAGCGCACCTGCAGCAGAAGATGTCTGCTTCATTTGCGGCTATGACGCCACCGCCAGTAACGGATGACTTCCCCGCCCTAAGTAGCTCATGGTGAGCGTTAAGGTCCTTGAGGGAAAGGATGGAGAGCATCTCCTGCATTGGGTAAGAGAGGTTGAGATGGCCATCGCATCCGCGATGCTCCAGACCTAGCAACAGCGCGTGGCGCTAGCCATATCAAAGCTCGGTGGTCGAGCGCGAGAATAGACACTGACGTGCGGCACTTCGGTCGAAGCTGCGTTTCCCTCCTGGACGAAGCTGAAATTGCAGCTCTCACGAGTGTTCTCGCCGCCTAATCAGTCATATCGTGTGTTATCGCGTTTCCTTGCCGCCCGACAGGGCAACAAGGAATTGGTGGACTTTGTCCAAGCGATCGCACTCTCATTGCCGAGATGGCAGCAGATCCTCTTCCGGAGGCGGTCACAGTGACCGTCTTTATGGGAAGCCTCCGCACTGGCGTGGTCAGAATGGAAGTCTTCCGTGTGCATCCGTCTTCATTTGGAGAGGCGGTGAATGTGGCATTGAATGACAAATTCAATTTCAAGTCGGCACGACTTGGTTGGAATGCACACTCCAACAGCTCGTCG